ATGCTGAGTTGATTATGGAAACCTTTTTTGAGGAAAGATAAAACCAAGCATTCGTCTTGGAAATTGGTTTCCTCTCCCAATATTGTCTCATTTATTTACTGTGGTAATTGGATCGAGTTGCATCTTGGTTTCCTTTACTCTTTTTTTTTTTTTTTGAGAGATTTTCGCTATAGGGCGCATGTGCTTGACAGACAGACAGAGACAGAGAGACAGAAAGCGAGAAATCACCCCCCAGAGGGGATGGTCACGCCGCAATCCCTTCTCCTCCATTCTCCTCTCGGGATCTTGGGTACACACACACGTGCCCGGCGTGAGTTTTAAGCCACCGGGTCCAGGACGCGAACCACGGTCTACTATGTGGGAGTCCAGCGACATAGCCATTACGCTAACTGCTGGTTCCCTTGGTTTCCCTTACTTTAAAAAAACCCGAAGTGAAGGAAGACAGTCTGGCATTGGACTCCTCTTTCAGCTGGGGCCTGACGGACCAGCAACATGGGCTGAGACTCCTGTTTGCAACCTAGCAGGTTCTTTATTGAATGGGTGACTCTTCTTTTAAATTTTTAAAAATTTGCTTAGGGTGCATGCACTTGCTGGAGAGACAGAGACAGAGGGAAAGTGAGAAAACACCCCAGAGGGTTAGCCATGCCACAACCCCTTCTCCTCCCTTTTCCTCGGGGAATTCTGGGCATGTGCACACATGCACCCACCAGCATGTTTTCCCAGCCCCTGGGCCCAGCATTCGAACTGCATAGTTGGCCATATGGGATCCAGCCTCCTTAACCACTGTACCATTGCCTGGCCCCACTAGGGACTACATTAAAAAGTTGAATTTATGAGGCCAACAGGTGCGCTGGAGGTCAAAGTGCTGGAGCCTACATGCCGATTCCACTGTTCGATCCCAGACCCAGTGGTTTGAAAATTACTCGGGCACATGCGCATGCATGCCTAAAATCCGGAGAGGACGGGGAAAGAGACTGTGGCATGGCCGCCCCCCATGGGGGTGATTTCTCGCCTTCTCTCTCTCTCTCTCACTGTCTCTAGTGAGCACATGTGCCTCATAGCAAAAACAAAACAAAACAAAATTGACTATGTCGAAGGTGTCAAGTCATAAAGTATGCTGTGTCCCTGAGGTGTGCAGCTCCTTTTCTCACGGGCCAAGAATCCCTTAAAGAAACCTTTATAAGAGCACGTGCTGGAGGACAGTGGGTCAGCACTGGCCAAGTCCGCGGATTTGCCGGTCACCCGTCGGTATGGGCCAGGTAAGAGACGTGTCACGCCTCCTCCACCCAGACACAAGGACACGGGTTAGCCACGCCTTCCTCTCCTCCTTTCAGTCTCTAACCTCTCAATTTAATTAAGGTCATTAGCTTCGAAACGCATGGGGTGAGCAGGAAAAAGAGAATGGGTGGCATTTAATTTAGGGGGTCCTAGTTTAGGCTCGGCTATAGACCATCCCCATATATTCATGTGTGTGCGTGTGTGTGTGTGTGTGTGTGTAAACACACTTACATTGTTTGGAAAGCAGGCTGATTTCAGAAAACACAAAGGCAATAGTGGAATGACTGCTTTGTGAGCCTGGGGAACTTTTCCACTACATAGGCTCTTGAGAAGATTGGCTGACATCTCAGAAAACTCAGTTACACTGTGAAAAAGAATATAATGCATTAAAAATACCAGGTGCTGGGAGGGGTGCAGAGCCACAGGGACTCTCATTCATGGCTGGCTAGTGCGGATGCAAAGCGGTCCAGCCACTCGGGAAGACACTTTGGCAGTTTCTTACAAAATTAAGCACGTGCTACCATTCAGCCCGGTAATCACACTCCTTGATATTTACCCAAATGTGCTGCAAACCCTGGGACACAGACACAATGGGATCTTATTCAGATAAAAAGAACCGAGCTGGAGCCAGCAGGCAGCATAGTGGTTACGGCACTGGATTTCCACATGGCCGACCGCAGTTTGAACCCCAGACCTGGCGGCTCAACATCTCCATCATGTGCATGCGTGCCCAACATCCCAGGAGGAAGATAGAGGAGATAGCCATCCGTGCTGGGGGGGGGGGGAGGCACGAACTTTCCCTTAACGTCATCTACTCCGTATCTGTCTCTCCTCTCCTGCGAGCACACGTGCCCTATGACTAAAACCTAAAAAAAAAAAAAAGAAAAAAGAAAAAAAAAAGGAATGGAGCTATCAAGCCACAGAGAGACATGGAGAACCCTTAAATGCGTATTCCTGAGTAGAAGGCCAGTGATAACACAGTGTCCACAGGGACGACTCGGCAATGTGACACACAGATTTATTGATTGATTTATGCATTTTAGGTTTTTGCCATAGAGAGAGTGCACTCATGAGAGAGACAGAGAGAGAGAGAGACAGAGAGAGACAGAGAGAAGGAAAGTGAGAAAGCACTCCTCAGGGGGAATGGCCACACCACAATTCCTTCTCCTCCATTCTCCGCTTGGAATCTTGGGCACATGCCCGGTGTGTTTTACCAGCTACTG